AAATATGTGGCAATAAAGAATAAAAATCAATACAATAATTGATCTTCTGTCTTAGTGCTGCATTGCCTAATGTGCAGTTATTTGAAATTATCTGAATGATTGAATTTTTCCTTTTTACCAAGAAGCATAAAGATTCAGCTTAGCACACATGTGTGTAGAATAAGAGAAAAGCATGTAAGTGGGAAAGTAAAAGTTATGCACAGAAATACTAATAAAATAATATTTTAGGTTTGACTGACAGTATTTATGACAGAAAAATGCAGTACCTGAATACATATCCTTGCAAAATGTTTCCACTGGTACAATATCTCCAGACCATGTGAGTGCTCTCTTTGACAACCTCAACATAAAAAAATATAGCATTACATTTGTTTACTATAAATCATAGATGGGTAATGTTTAACTCTGGATGCAACTATTCAGGCCTTCCTTCTGAAAAATCCCTCTACCCCAATTCTCTAGATTTTCTCTGGTTTAATGGACAAGAACAGTAAGTCATCAGAGCCACAGAGTCAAAATTACCATAAAGAATATTGGGAAAGCAGCATTACAGAGAGATGGTTAACAAATTTTCTAAGTTGCTTATATGTAGCATTTTCTTCGTCAGAATGTTATATATGCTCTAGTAGATGGAGTTCAGTAGTTAGTCACTGACTGTAATTCTTTTTTTTTCCTTTCTCTGATGAGAACTCAACATTATGTGCTTCTTGTGATGCAGTATGAGCCATTTTAGCTTCAGTACAATACTCAGATTCTCTATATAAAAAGAAGAGTAAGTTTTTAGTTTTAAGAAGGCAAATTTAATGAACTAGCAGTTAGAAGCCTGTCTACATCATCCATCCTGAATTAATCAATTGATTGCTTAGCAGAATACTTTGGATAGTACAGTGTTGGCAATGAGATATGCCTCAGCTCATAAACACTCCTTAGAATAATAGAAGTGACTTCTCCCTGGAATATAGTTCTTTTTCAATGTTCTTGGCATAGAATGTTAGTGAGAAAGTTAAGAGTATTCCAATACTGTAAGTTGCAGAAGGAGGGATTTCTGAAGGAAGGATAACCTGAAAATGAGGGCTCAGCAAGCTGGGTATGGCAGCACACACCTGTAATTGCAGCATTTGAATGGCAGAAGCAGAGAAATCACTTGTTTTATGCTAGACTGGGCTTTGTAGCAAGAGTCAAAAAACAAGAAGGATCAATCGATAATCTTTGGCTTCATACAGAGAGAGGAAGGGAAGAAAGGAAGGAAAAGGGAAGGAGAGAGAGATTTGAGTGGTATGTAGACTTACTTCTGACCCATACCTGTACCTCCAGGTCCCAGAGTGTTCTACCATTAAGCTCCAAGAATTCTAGAAGATTCATAAGTATGAAATGGTAGAAGGCCTTCACCTGCTTCATTATGTCTCAACAGTTCTTCAGAGTCTTCTGTTAATAATGCTTTCTAGACAAGGGCATTATTTTCACCTCAAAGATATTCTTGATATGGAGAAAGGAGGATAGTGGTATTTCTTATCCTTATTGCAGTAACTACATATGTTTGGTACAGCAACCTGACCACTACTTAGTAAATACACAAACAATCTTACCATGAAACTCAATACACTAACACCTTTGTGTGAAGCACTCACAAATGATGTCCATGCATTTACTTAGCATACTGAAGTTCTGAGCATAGCCATCAATGTGGAGTGCTAACAATGGCCACTGACATAGAAAGGACAGGTATGATTGTCTTCATTTTCAAAATGAGAAAAATGGGACTTAGAAATTTTAGTCTCTTGTTAGTACCATAAGTAGCAAAACCAGAACCACAACCCACCTTACTAACGTTTCCGGTACCTTGCTCTTGTACTAACAGGTAGTTTTAACCTATGATCCACTGGCTGCAGGTAGTCCAAGGTGGCTATGAATAAAGGCTAACTCATTTGTACACAACAATATCAAAAGATGAGCACTTCTGTACAGCTTGCTAACCTTCACCATGTTGTACTTGAAAATAACCCTTAAAATTTTCTTTCAGTATTCTTCCTTACATGAGAATGTCCTCCTTGGTGAGATATATATCATGCAACAGAAATATGATGCAAAATAGGAGAATCTAGGTTTTTTAAAGCATACAGACATTATAAATTAAAGCAACATAACTGTTAACTGTCGACTATTCATTTTTTTCCAATCCATTTGAATTAGCTTAATACATATTTTTAAACTTAAATGTAGCTATGACTTAATGCTTGGTGAATTACACTGTGTCATTCCCTTTTAATTTACCTTTGACATCATGTCTCTCATCCTTCCCCGTGTATCTGGAATGTGAGATTTTCTTCTTATATTTGCTCATTTCAAAGGAGAAAATTTTCTCCTTGTAAATTTTGTAGAGCAATTCTTTTATGCCTTAAAGCCACATATAATTTGCATCCAAAAAATCTGCTTAAATTTTTCTTCCACATCTCCTTAGTATTACAGTCCCTCATAGCATGCCTATAACAAAGTTGCATTACAGCAAATGTGGAGAACATGAATTGTGAGCCATGTCTCATCTGACATAGATTCCCTGTCACCATTTAGTTTAGAAATTCCCCCATGAGGTCACAAAGGATGACATGAGTATATTTGCCTATAGCATTTCTAAAGGAAAACAAAACTTCTAAGAACAGACATTTCCAGTTGATAGCCAAGCAATCTAGGAAAAAATATTATTTGAAAGAAGTTATAGTCTTAAAATAGCTATACACAATGACAAATATTTCAAAGAACCTGGCCTGTATCAGAATAAGGCTTCTGATCAGCAAAAATAAATAAATAAATAAATAAATGGCTATGATTGACAGTTGTGAAACAAGAAAGAGAAGACATTTTCAAAAAACTGTGTCTCTAAATCAAAGCTGGGTTTAGTATTGCCAGCTTGATTTCTGCCTTCTACATCTTCTGCCAGTGCTATGTTCACTTTATCACATCAAGCAAGAGAAACTGCTGGAACAGTGCCTACTACAATGATGATAACTTACAGCTTCTAGAACAGACTTGATTGCATTTTAATTGTAAAAAGTGAATTAATATGATTCCCACAGTGATGCATTTTCAGTTGACTACCATACCTTATTCCTTACCAGACAGTACTGAAGGGAAAACTGGAGAAAGCGAGAGGAGGGAGGTATAACAGAGAGTGAGAGGGAAAGAAAGGAAAAAAGCAAGGACAAGAGAGGGGGGAGGGAGAGAGTAAGCACAAAGGAAGGGGACAGGGAGGGGAAGGAAGGGAAGGGAGAAGAAAGGGAAGGGAAGGGAAGGAAAGGAAAGGGAATGGAAGAGAAGGGGAAAGAAGGGAAGAAAGGAAATTTACAGCAGAGGGGACTGTGCATGCCAATGCAGACTAAGTGTCAGTACCATAGGAAAGGTCAGTGATATGCATCTTTCTCCTCCTTTGTCTATTTGATCTGGAAGAATCCGTGGTAATCAGTGTTAGCACCTTTTATCTACATGGATTACATAGGAATGGTGTCACAAGTCCTAGATATACAGAGAGGTGATTAGGAGAAGCCAGACACATAGTTCTTGTTTCCTCATTTTTGCCTGTTGCCTCATTTCCTAACTGTCTTCTTATTCTAGAACTTGCTAAAATTCAAATTCAGGCACAGGTGGTGAGAAAATGAATTTTCCCTATTAAGGCAAAGTAAGTGTCCAATATTAGCAGATGTTTATCTAATGACAGATCCCGAGACTTAATAAGTAAGACAAGCTTAGATTTTCAACAGTAATGTTTGAAAGTTGGAAACTGTATATGGCTATTGAATGCATGGTTTTGGCATAGCTGAGTTCAACATATTGAATCTCACTGATGATTAGCTACAATGTCAAGTACAGTGTGAGAGCGGCACTGTTGGAAATGATTGCCTCGGTATTCTAATTTACAGCACTGTTCTCCTCCCCTTAGACTCTTCCCACTTCAAGATTCACAAACTAGGTCCCCTAATGGATATTGTTTAAAAGTGTCTGAACAAGCCTGAAGGTGGTCAGACTGCTGCTTCATTGCTCTCCATATTAAATGATATTCTGATAGCCTGAGAAAATCTAGCAGAGTGCAAGTTTGTTTCTGATTACATGATTATTCTACAGATATATGGAAAAAAAATCATCATTCAAGCCCTCCAGGTGCTTAAACAGTTTGATAGACTGTAGCCATTCTGCCATCAGAGCCCCCAGCTGTGTTGCTTAGCAACATTTTAATTCCAGAACAATCGAAGAAGATGAAATCCCTGTGGAGAGGGAAACAGAAATAAGAGGGCTGTTGACAGATGATCAGAGTTGTTTCTTCTAATACACTGTGAAGATCACTAGCTCTTTTCATGAATGATAAATGGACTGTACACAGATCAATGGGTTCAGCAATAAACTGGAACCAGTCTCCATGTCTAAGGTGACTCAGACCACGTGGTCCCAAAATGTCCTCATTTTAAGATTTGGTGTGTATTTTCCTAAAGGTTTCAGGGGAGGAAATTAATCTCAGGATATGGGCATTCCTTGTGCTTTTGTAATGTCTGTTACTCAAAGGAATTTGAGGTAACTTTTTGTCCTTTCCCTCATGGTATAGGTGTGGTTCGGTGTTGGGAAGAATGTTAATATTAATGATCCCCTGACGTGGAGCCACCATGTTTTGCATACCCCTCTGTCATTTCAATCTAATCAGGCCCACATTGTGTAAAGTTAGATTCAATGGTAGAGAAGGGATGATCTGCTTGTGCCTGAAGAGCCACTTTCATGGCTCCTGCTGAACTTTTCCAGGTGCTCTAACAATACCTGTCTGTGCTTAGACAAGTAAATACCTTCTCTGGGGAAGAAAGTTGATTTCTATGTCACTGCTTATCCATGGGAGCTGGTTTTAGTTCTTTCCTAAAGTTTCTACAAAGCATTTGCTAACTTTCTACTGCTTGATGTTTTGGTTACTAGTTGCAAAGACTATGCCTGTTAATATTGTCTAATTGCATTTTTCTCTCTATTTGCAGGCTGTTGAAAAGGCAAAACCTAAGAATAATCCTGTGAAGTAAGTTATTTTTAGTAGTTTAAGTTGTTGATTCTAATGAACTCTGTGCATGGGGGAAATTGAGTTCATAAAAGACATGGAGTTTGCATTTATCTTTATTCATGACAATTTAGAGACAAAACAGAACACAGGGAAAAAATACCATCCAATGAATAATGACCAGCTTCTAGTTTTCCATGTGTCCCTGATGAGGAAATGCCCCAAGTTTACACAGTATACATAAATTAATATGTGCCATCATGAATAGCTGCCAAATACTATTATAATCATATTCAATGGATACTACTTCAAGCCTTTGAGTTTTTTCTTCTCATGCTGAAAAGATTATATTTTTAATTGCAAACCCTGAACCTACGACAGAGACATAAATGGCTGAACATGTGCCAAGTGATCTTCAGCCACGTGGGGAGGTTTGCACCTTGCCATCAAGGCTTCAGTACTCTGTTAATGAAAAGCTCATAAAAATCCATTCAACTGAATGAGGGTTGCTAACAAAGAGCAGTTACTAAGCCATTTTGTAAGACACAAAAATTGTAACAAGCCACACACTGTTACTTTAAATATAGGACACATTAGATATCCTGTCTTTTCTAGAAGAGAGATTTTTAAGTGAAAAGGAATGACTGTCTTGTCATTTGATTTTGTGACACCTGATAGCAATGTTATGATGTATACCATTTTTATCAGTGACATGGCCAAGGAAGGACTTTCTCTGTTTACTCGGTTATTACAGGTCTTGGAATATCACATGTCTAGACAGTATGTGTTAATTTATGCCAGAAAACTTACATTATAGTTAGTACAAAATACAGAAATAGTAAGTGCATTGTTTTTTTTATAGTTCTTGGAGAATGGATCAGCTATGTCAAGAATAAAAAAGTTGTTTCTGTAGTGTGAGAGAACTGGCTTTTCCAGAACATACAGGTGGTGTTTAGCATATCCTTAAATCTAAACTGATACATTTTCTAAAGCACTGTATACTATGCTTACATGTTTTAATGTTTTTAGTCAACAGAATCTTCTCAGTCCATAGCTCTTGCAAGGCCCTCTACAGTTGGGATGTGTTGTATTCATCCTCTGGAAGCCAGTTTAGTTGCTGAGTTTTAATCTTGTCTGGTTGAGGTTAGACTCATCTCTGAACCCTGGCTTCTTTTCCATCTGTTTACACTGGCAACTCTTCCACTGTGAGCCTGTGCCAGGACAGTTCTGAGGATTAGAGGATGATGCTAACGAAGGCAGGGTCAGGGCTTAATCCCTGGGTGGTCCATTAGTGATGTTCTTTCCCACAGTCAGACTACATTGCTTTGTCCAGTTTGGTTGCATATACATATGTGCTTCAGGTCATATGGGGTAGGGCAAAGAATAGGAGTGTATAAATCTTGCCCTTAATGTGGCAACTTGCTCCCCAACTTCAACTTATTCCTATAGGAAATTAGTCCAAACTTCATCATTACATGCACAGGACAGCATGTTGTCTCTGTGTGGGGCTGACTGCGTTACATTTTAATCTAATAACCTGAAAATGATGCCAGTTTTCTGTCTGGTCATTGCAAAAAAAATTTTCCCTTCCTTTTTAAAGATGTATTCCTCCCCCTTTTTTGAAATTTATTTTATTTATTAGATATATGGTGTTCGGTTTGCATGTATATACCCCTGCATTCCAGAAGAGGGCTCCAGGTCTCATTATAGATGGTTGTAAGCCACCATGTGGTTGCTGGGAATTTACTCAGGACCTCTGGAAGAATAGCTCAAGCTTTAACCTCTGAGCAATCTCTCCAGCCCAATTTCACCCTTCTTGAAATTATACATTTTTATGGATTTTCATTACTTCACAATGCAGATTCTACCTAATATTTGACTCTTTAAGCTGTTTAAAGGAGATAGAACATGTGAAAGGGTCAAAGTATTGTGAATCTTCCTACTCTTAACCACATTTTTTTTCAAAAAAAATATAATCAGTACTAAGGATAAGTGTTTGGAAATATCTTCTAATTAAATAATTCAGTGTTGGTTTAGGGTATCTTTGTTGTACTTGGAATCATGATATCAAATATAGCTGACAGCCATAGCTATATGGACACTTCAAGAAGGCCATCTTCCTAAGCATAGTTCCAGGGCAGAAACTCTACAGCCTTACTTATTTACACTGTCAGGCTCAAGAACAACAAAAGGTCTTCGAAGTTTGGTATACGGTGGCCCTCTTGCCATTTCTGATGCCTGTCAATGAATTTTGGTAGCACATAGTGCACTGGATCCCCAAATAGTGTAAAAAATTGAGCTATACATTCTGAATGAAGGATTAGATCAGATATAATTAAGAAAATGGTCTTTCTGGAAGGCTTACCTAGAGGCTTAACAAAGTTGTTAGTTCTGGTCTAATAGGTTGCCACCATTAGGTCACAGGAAATGGTATGTTGTAACTGTGTCCTTATCTACTCTCTATTATTCTTACTTATGGCATGTGTAGAAATGTTCCCACATTGCTATCCTTCCTTCCAGTTGCTTTTCCTCTTAGTACTTGCTTTTTGATCTCTATCTAGAATGAGTTTTTGGTTGTAATTTTGGAACATGAATTAGGAAGTTTATATGCATGTGTAATGGAAAGTTGAGGTCTAGTGGCATCAGTTATAACTGAAGTATAAACATAGAGTTGACCATTTGATGAGATTTTTATAGAGTACTTTTGTGTATAATTTGATAAACGTTTAGAAAAATGCAAAATATGATAAGGATATTTCATGACATGTGAAAATTAACATGAATTTCCAATGTCAGTATCTACAGGTGAAATTGTAATTGTAATGTAGATGCATTCCTTCCTTTGCACATTATTTGTAGTACTTGATGATGTAACGGGAGAGTTCAATAGTTACAACAAAGGCTATACTACATAGAGCCACACTTACTTCCTATGGGCCTTAACTCTATATAGTAAAAGTTCAGTATCTCCTGACTGAATTGGCCAGGTAGAAAAACACAGAACAACTTTTCATGACACTACAAGTTAAACTATCAAGTCTTTTAGTTTGGCAGATGTTAAAACATGGAATAGACATTTACTGAGCCATTATTGGGTGCTCAGGATTTCCTGGGACTGATATATCAACTAGTCCTTATTACAAACAAAGCCACTCACTCTTCACTCACTGTCTTTGACCATCCAATGAGTAGGTGATCCATGATAGGCCAATAATACCTAATAAGCAATTAATATTCACCTACAAATACTGCTAGTCTTTGACATTTCATAGATCATATGGGTTTTCTGAAATTATGTTATCTTTAAATCTAGTTAAGGCTACATGAACAATTGCTAGGGTGGTAATAGATTATTGACTAGGTCCACTAAATTTGCTCAATTTCCTCTTTAAAAGCTCACCTCTATACATTTCTCAGCCACTCATTCAATTTAGTTTCAACACTTTCCTAGGTGTAAGCTCTTTTCATCACTATGGTAAACATTGGTAGATATTCTATATAAAAGGGGATATATATATATTTATATATATATATACATATACATATATGTGTGTGTCTGAGGAATGTAAACATATAATATCCCCATATATATTAACGACCTTTACCATTAAATACACTTCTAGGGTAAGACTCCATTGACGATTCCTGAGATCAACAATCATGGCAAGAGATCCCTGGATGAAATCTCTGTATAATGGAAGTACAGTGGCAACAGAACTTGATAGGTGCAATAAAAATCAGAGCTCTGTAGTGTGTTAGGGAAGAACCTTTCACTTGTATATTAAAGTGCTATAGAAATCATCCCCAAGGTTGTCATTCTAACAACAACGACTGAGAGATGTACAGATTTCTCCTACCATATGTGACCTATTACATATATACATTTTTGAAAAAAGAAAATCTACATTTCTGTTATTAAGACATATGTGATAGTATACTTCTGGAAATGTGAATTGCTTTTGGCTAAAATCCATGCACTAATAAGTTGACTTGAATCTAACTGAGGCTGACATCTGTTGAGGGATAAAAAGAGAGAGGAAAACATAAAATTCTCTCTCCTGCATTTACACTTTAGCAACATTGCAGAACATGGTGGCTGTCTTTCACAAATCATAGTCAGAATCAGCTGGGATGATGGAATTACAGTTTTATTTGGGAACTGATATGTCTTGTAGATATGGTGGCTTCATTATTGAAAATGGTAAATGGCTAGAAAGATTTTCCTGATCATTGTTTGCATATTACTCATTAATTTCTACAATGGATACTTTTCTTTAAGACCTACAGAGTTCCAAGAAATGTGGCAGATGCTGAGATCTAAAAGAAAATCTGACACTATGCTTACCCTTGAGGAGCAGAGCCTCCAGTAGCAGTGATAAAAATCCTATTGTAAAGAACTAAATAGAAGAGAGAAAGTCTATGTGATGGACTTCTCTGATATGCAGGAAGTGATAAATCAAGGAAAAAGCTCTCAGGAGTTCTAGTATTGTTGGAGTCAGGGGTAGAAAGGGCAAAGTAGAAACATTTGCATCAAGAGTGTAAATACTACTGGTTTAAGATACTGGCCTGAGGTGGGGCAGGGGAAAGAAAGAGTTCAGCTGATTGGTGGAATGTCGACAGTGAAGGGCAGATTTGAAAACTAAAGTAAGAGAAATTAGCATGGTAGAGACAAACAGCACTGAAGAGCTCTAATCTTTTTTTCAATTTTTTTTAAGTAATTTTATTAAATTATAAAAGTTTCCATTTCCGCCTCTCCTCCCACCACCTTCCCACTCCCCCCACTCCCCCTCCATCCCTAAGAGCAGTCAGGGTTTCCTGCCCTGTGGGAAGTTCAAGTTCCTCCCGCCTCCCTCCAGGTCCAGGAAGGTGAGTGTCCAGATGGACTGGATCCGCAAAATCCAGTATATGCAGAGGAAACAAGTCCCAGTGCCATTGTCAATGGCTTTTCAGAAAGACTCCAGGACAGCCACATTCAGAGAATCCGGCCACATTCAGAGAATCTGGTTGGATTGCGTCCTCGT